CATTATATATAAATGATATATTTTTATTATGTGTTTTAATAATATATTTTATATTTTATATTTTTTTATGTTAATTTGTAAATTTCTTACTGTATATATCTTATTTATTAAAAAAATATAGATATTCATCTGGTTAGATCCAAAAATAATGATGTAAATATATATCTAGCAAACAATGCTACAATGCATTCTATGTTTAAAGATAAGAAATATTTTTCCACTTGACAATGGAAGAAGTCAGAGTTAATACATTATTTGGTAGTACAAGATTAATTGGGGGTTTTAGAAGGGACAGTATTTTACCACCCGAAAGAACAAAGTCAACAATAGAGAATGCATTATTTTCAACTAAGTCTCAAAGAAATTTATTAAAGTTTAAAGATATTTGTCTAAATAGATATCAAATTGAGACAACGAATGAAAGAGACACTTAATACGTCTATATTACATCTATTATCTCAGGTAAGAAATGTATGTCGTAAAAATTATCTACTTCATCCTTTAGATTGTATTATACAAAAATCAAAATGATTGAAACTCATGCTATGATAAATTAGAAGTTTATTAATGATTTTAATATTTGGCATAACTAGTTAAGCTATCCTGGATCAATAGTGATACAAAAATTATTGAAAATACATGTGGTCATCCATTGAAAAACTAAAATTTTTTTTAATATAATAAATTCTCATGTGTTGCTTGTTTTCAAGATAAATTAATTATAAAACCATTACTAGCTAAAGTTAAGATTGAATCCTTTACGTTTTGGAACGTATTCAAGGTGATATATATATATATGAACCCATATATCCACCATGAGAACCATTTATATATTTTCTGACTTTAATCGATGCATCTACTAGATAGTCATATGTGTACTTACTATCAACTCACAATTTAGTGTTTGTAAGATTACTTACCCAAATTATTCATTCATAAGCATATTTTTCTAATTATGCAATCAAAACAATTTATCTTGACAATACTGGTAAATTTATGTCTCAAGCTTTTAATGAATATTACACATTAGTTGAAATAACTATAGAATAGCCTGTTGCTCATGTTAATACAAAAAACGATTTAAAGCTACTACAAATTAACACAACTTATTCTTATCCAAACAATCAAATTTAAAGCTACTCTAAATTAATGAAACTAAAACTAAAAAAAAATAACAATTTAACTAGAATCAATCAATCAAATTCTAGAATCACAATATCCCCTCAATCCTTCATTTGAATCTTTTTTACTCTCTTTTTACTTACTAAAGAGGCTAAAGTTGTTAACATAAAGTTCTAGTATATTTATAAGTTTCTTCTAATGTTCTAATAAAAATATCTTCCTTAACAAACTTCTTATATTCTTATGCAAATTAAAAGTAAGAAAAACTCATTACGTTTAGACTCTAATTATGGCTACATATGACGTGAAAGTGTCTTTCTACCTTACATGTGAATCAAATCAATCATCTCATACAATTGATATTGAACATATGTTATTTCATCTACGACTTACTCTAAACTCTCTTTTCCAGTTCCATTTAGGTTTTTAAATCAATATAATTGCTGATCAAGCAATCAGACACATTAAGAACAAGATTAAAATAAACAACTCGAACACTATTAATCATAAATAAGAAAGAATATAAAAATTCAAACTACGCATTGGGTTCAATTGTAATTCTAGATTAAAAAAATTTAATTTCCCATAATTACTAAAAACATCATCCAAAAAGAAATTTAACCATCAAAACTAAACAAAGAAAGAATAAAGATAACAAAAGAAGAAAGAACTCCAACATTTGTCAAGTCTTCGATCTGTAATCTTTCTTATTTTCCTTGCTTTCTTGCTAGCTTAAAAGGCCATTTTTTTGTGAAAACCCTTTCTTAATTCCCCCCTAAACTTGCTTTAAAAGGGTGGTTAAATAGAGCTCGAATCCATGTCAAATAGAAATTTGGTGGCATGAAAACTCTTTTCTAACTTATAAACGTTGTGGCCCTCTATCCTTGGGTGCCATAGCGCTGTGCTCTGGGTATTATTTTATTTTAGATTTTCTTTTTGGGCACTATGATGCTACCCTTTTGGTGGTCATGGTGTCAAAGCCTTTAGTTTACTGAAGTGTACATCTTTTATCGGGGCGTCGTGGCACTCATGCTTCCATGGCCGTGACGTCCTATGCTCTATCTTGAATTTTCAGGCTCTACAATGCTACTTTGACTTGTGACACAATTTTTGCCTTCTTCAAGGTTGAACTAGGCAAAATGGTAAAAATGAAAGTTGTAGCTCGGCGTCTTAGCTTTTAATAGTTTAAAAATCAAGTCAATTGGACTTATGTAGTGAAAGATATGCTCAAAATACTGAAACATGTGTAGTGAAAGGTTACATCTTGAATACATTCTTCTTCACAAAATATCACCTTTTTAATAACACACTTACAAAAACAACAAACTAACTTAAAAAATAACCTAACTTAAAGAAATAGAATCCAATATAATTAACTTAAATAAAATAAATGAATAAAAATAACTCATACTTAAATTAAACCTTCAAAATTTAAACAAAATACACCTAAAATTGTAACTGAATAACTCTATAAAATATAATTATTAAGTACCAATACTTTTTTCCATAGAAACTCATATTTTAGCCAAAAAAATAATATTCTAAGTTCCAAATAGTCTAACAACATTTCATTTCAATTTTTGAGTTCAAATACCAAAATAAAGTAAATAGCAGATTTCAAGTAAGTTTTCCTTAAACCAATAGTTGAATCAATCATGATCAAAGTCTCAATTCCAAATCAATTCATAATTAATTCTTTCAATGCAAATCCAATAACCGAGTAAGCATTTGTGGAGCACAAAAAAAAAAGTAATAGAAATAAAGGATAGGGTTTTGTCCCTACTATTTGGATATCAAAAAGTGTCGTAGCACCAAAGTATAGTCTAGTACATATAGTTACCGACTTTTAATAACAAAGGGTAGGGTATTGTCCCATTACCAATAACATACAAAGTTGTGCTGTAACACCAATCTGTAGTTCGATTCATATAGCCAATGAGTTTTAGATAAATAAAAGGTGTTGTCCCACCTAAATGGTTCATTGTATATAGTCACCTACCTTAGAGTATACAGATCATTGTGCATAATGGCTTGTGTCTATTGTCACTAACTTCAGGTCCCTAACTTAATAAGCTCTACTGAAAACATTTTCAAATTTCAAAATTTATTAAAATGTTCATATCAAAAATAAAGGAGTGAAATTGCTCACCAACAAAATCAAAATGTTGAGACAAAATCATAAATAAAAGTAGAGCAATGGTTGACCACTTGATATACAATCAAAGTATGCCATAAGTCCCTATACTAGAGGTCGGCCATTGCTCTACTTTTTTTTATTATTTGGAAATCTTTTTCTGCTCCCATAATTAAGTTTGTTGGAGCAAAAGTCTCTTTTGCTATGGTTTTGTCTATATTGTGTATATTTGAGTGGCTTTCTTTTGTACAAGGTGAATATTAAACAAAAGTTATACTTTTGCTTGATTTTTGTTTTGGCAGAGGTTACAAGCCTCTTGGTGATGTACATTTTCTTTTTTGAGTATATCTTAGCGGCTGTTGTCGAACCATAAGATCTTTTTGTTAACTTGGGGTTTTTTGATTGGATTTACTTGGATTACTCCAATGAAATAGAATATTTCCACTGAAATGAGAATATTTATTAACCTTTCGAAAAGAAAGTAGTGTAATTAGTTTTTATACATTTTTCCTACAAATGGAAAGTTAATGGTTTTTAATTACTAAAGAATACCTTTGATATGTAAAAGTACACTTGTGATGCAAACCTGATGCTAAACAAAATAGTAAAGGTACTCAATTTAATTCCTAAATGATAGATCTTTCTTCAATTTAGTTTCGGTACTATTTAATTTTATTCAATGTAATGTTTATACTCTACATTTTATTTAATTTAGTCTATATGATGTTGCATTAAAAACCTGATGTGGAAAAAAAAATTTCAAAAAATAAAATTTGTTTCAAAGTTTTCATTTTTCAAGCCTACTATGTCATTGTTGCCATATCAGCATGTTAATGCCATATCATTACCATGTCAGCATAATTTGACATGTCAACACCATTAATGGTCAATTTTGATGACGTCAAGGAGAACGACTCAATTGAACAAAATCGCAAAGTATAAGAGCTAAATTAACTAGTTTTGCGATAAATGGATTAACTTGACGAAAAACCCATAGTGCAAGGACTCATGGGGTACTTTGACCTTGTTATTATCAAGATTTTACTTCTTTTGTTCTTTCAATTGTTTTATTATGTTGCAACAAAGGTAGATCAAGATATCCAATATTTCGTTGTTTGAGTACACCTTTTAACTAATTTTAATTTTACAACATCTTATTTTTGAATAATTACATTTATACTTTGATTTTATCGTTGATGCTGCTAATTCTTTCTTAATTCTTCTAGTTCTTTGCTGATACTTTTGTTTTTTCTATTATAGTTTAGCGGAAAATTAATTGTTTCCTCAACTAAGGTCAATCCTAGTTTTTCATGTGATTAAATTTAGTGTTGAATCATTGGACTTTTCAACACTTTAAACTAATATTTTGCTTACTTAACTATTATTATGTTTCCAACTCCCTCAATTAAATCTTCTGTTGTCGGAATAGACTATTCATTTATTATAATTTGATGTTAAACACGGACAACATATCTTAACTTAGTAAATGTTATTAATATCACTAACAACATTTATCTATACATTATTATTAACGATTACTTTGTTACTCAATTCATGAATAAAATATGTAATTATTTACAATAATTTTTAAATTATATATCAATTGATTACTCTCGCAACTAATTAAAAATTATTTTAATTACTAATTGTTTAAGGTTCTTCCTTGCCTAAGGCAAACCTCACCAAAGTCAGTCCTTTGCAACAATATTTTTTCCTCCTGTAGTATTTTACTGAAGAAAATCAGAGTGAGTATAGATATTTTGAGTTAAAAAATTCTCACACACAAAAAAAAAAAAAAACAGAAAATTAAATGTATAGTTATTGATTGTCTCGAACCAAAACCAAATCAAATCAAATCAAATCAAAATCAAATCACTATCATCGCATACTCCTCATGTTTAAAAATCAGTCTCCTTACATCAAATCCCCTCTCATTTCAACCCCTCACTACAAAATCACCGTCGCCACCACCAACCCTCCGCCGCTCCTCAAATCCGCTTCCCGGAATGAAGCTCTTCTTCCCAACCCCAATCCCACGGCCACCTCCCGTTCACCCACGTTCGCTCCTGCTCATCTCATGCTAACTATCGGGTCGTGGCTACGCACGCGCCGCAGCCGCTGTTTTCTGCTCTTGCTCTGCTCCCCTCTTCTCCTCCCTTTCCTCTGCGCAACTTTCCCTCTCCTTTGCATAGCCGAAGTCTGCTTCCGGATTTGTCGACGAAGAAGGAGCGGAAAGGCGGCACAGGAAGAAGAGGAGGAGGAGGAGCGGCGGCTGCGGCGATGTGAAGAGGGTTGTTGTTGCGGTGGAGAAGAGAGGGAAGTTGGGCTGCTACGGAGGTACTTGGAAGATCAGCTGGCGCTCGTTGGATCTGTTTACGAATGTGGTGATTACTTTGATGATCATGATGGGGATCGTGATCCCGATGATCTTAATTGTAAAGTTCCTCTTCTGAGCTGATTGCTTCTTCTTTTAATTTTTTTTCCCTAAATTTTGTGTAAATTAAACTATTAATGGTAATTTGACATTTTCACCTTTTTCTTTACTATGCTTTAGTCTTTGAACGCAAATTGCACAAGGCATTTATGTAATTTTAAATTTGTAAATTGTCATTGATTTTTGGTCAATTTCTAGTTGGCCAATTAGAAATTATATGGCAAAATTCCTGCAAAGATCTATTTTCTTAGCCCTTGATATTTAAATTTAATAAATTACAATAATTGTAGGTTTGTGGGATTAATCTTTTATAATAATAATAATTTCAAACATTTATTTAGTCAATTTTATTATTAGTCTTCACTTATAATAACAATTTTCAACTCTAATTGCCTGCCCACACCGGCTACCATCACTAACTTATTTGGCATTGGCTTCTACATGGACTATAATTTTGCAGCTTAAAATTCTTTTTCGAAATAATATTAATTTTTTAAAATATTTATATTTTTTGGACATATCTTTTTACAAATAAATGTTAATATTAGGGTAAATTTTATATAAATTTCTTGTGATATGATATTTTTTCATGTGACACTATGGGAATTTTTTTTAAAAATAAAAAAGTGTTTTATTACTATTCTAATATGAGGTGCCAATGTTATATTTTCAACAAAATGACAATAGTCTTTATAAATTTCACTAAAAAGACAGTAAGATTCTTAAATTTAAAAGTTTTATTTTTTGCATTTGAATTCTAAATTCTTCTTCAAAGGGAGAGCAACAGGATTGAACGCGGAAGGTCATTTGCTTACAGCGAAAGGGGGGGAGGGAAGACATTTGAAAATGTTTTGAACATCAAACTTAATTTTAATATTCAAAAAAAGGTCACCTTGGTTGACTACTATTGTTGAAGTAGAATTTTTTTTAAAATTTGGAAGTAATCAAATATGTGATTTTTTATAAAACAATCATTTAGAAATAAAAAATGATAGTAATGATTTTCTTGATATTTAGATTATTAAAAATAATTTTTTTTCATAATTTTAAGAGTTTTTTTGCTATTAAAATGAGAGCCATAAGTTTAATTTTAGTTAAACTGTTTTGATTTTGTTCTTAAAACTAAAGTTTAGATTAATTCTTTTGGATTTTAATTTTTTTAATATTTTTATTGAATCTAAATGGTGATGCTTGCTTATTTACATTAAATATCTTAAATAAATAAAAAATACAAAAATAAAAAAAAAGAACATTTACTTAAATGATATTAAATGTAAAGAAGCTTATATGTTCAATGTTTATCCATAGACTTGATCTATCTATTGATAGATGGGCAAATTTAGCAATAGATAACAACTCGAGAGTTTTTTAAAAGAATCTTGAAGCCTATCTTTTGATAAATGGTTAAATCTATCGATAGATGATGTTAATTTTTGAAAAATAAAAAAGAGCAAATGAATATTTTCACATGGAACATCTGAACTTGCTAATATTTTTCCTCAAGTAACTTTGTTATACGCAAAACAAACTTGCATACCTTTTCCTTATAAACAATCTTTAAATGAGCGTGACATGACTTTTTAATTCTAATCTCAAAATGCTCTTTTAGTGTCGACATGCTCAAAGGTTATTTCAATTTGGCCATCGATGAAATCAGTTTTCGGTGATATAAGTGGTTGTCCATTGATCTGGATTTCTCAGTCGAAACTATTTGGAAGGATATCATATCTACATCTGGAATAATCTATTGACGAGAAACCCTTGCATTTACCCTTTCCTGATCACTATCATCAGACGAACAAATCCCATTGTTAAGTGTGATGGGTTGTCATAAATAGGGTCAGCAAGTTATCTTCTAATTCAATAGTTGTGGCATGGTCATCGCACTGAACCTCTTCTAACGTAATAGTTGTGGTATGTTCTGTATGCCATCTACATGATTGCAATTCGGAATGTCATTGTGCTCATCCTTGTCATCCTTTGAATAGTCATCATGTTTGCTAATGTAATCATCTTCACAGTCATCTTCCAGCTTATCATTCCAATTCGCAATGTCGTCCTCTTCAAGATCATCTTCAATCTGATCAGATGCATCATCACCACTCACAACCATTACAATGTCATTCTCAAATGACAAGGGACCCATTGTATTTTCGAGGCAAGGTTGCGTTTGTTGCAAAATATCAAGTATTTCATTCGATGCACATTCCAATTGGAATTGTGCAGATATCATTTAAACATTTCATGTGTGTACCGAGATGCTCAAACTCATGTGTATATGTCAATGGTGATTATCATTATTGTTTGCTAGGAAATGCATGGTGTGGTATGTCAAAATAATTAACATTTTTTTGTAGGGTATTATTAAGTTGGACACCATGTTCATGTGGAATGTCATTTGCATTTCATGCCTTAACTATCACAAATACAACAACTACCCTCTCATCTCACAGAATACTTGCTACATCTTTATCGTCCTTAATAATTGCGCGTGAAACCCCTATGACATGACTAAGCAATGCATGTAGCTTGATTTCATTATTATGTGAGTTGAACCTAACAACCTCTTCAACCAGCTTCACTAGGCTCAAAAATGACAAATCACTCCCAACACCCTTCACTCATGTCTCACCACCCTTATAAGAGTTATCAATCCAATAATAACCGTATGTAATTATAAGCTTCACATTTGGCAGGCCATTGAAATCTAACAAAAAAATAAATGTCACAATTAGTCAATTTATCAAAAATTACACCTCAATGTCTAAAAACCACTTACGCAGTGACTAAGTCATGAAATAACATAAAGTCAGTCTCACAATGTTTAATACACATTCATGCAATGCCTAAAAACTAGTGAAGAAATGCCTTAAAACAAGAAATGCATTGCACAAGTCATGCATTGCCAGTCTCACAATACCTAATTATAAGTCACTTAATGCCTAATATCCACTTATGTTATGCCAAAATAACCAATCACGTATTAGCCCAACGTCATGCAATACATACGCAATGTCTAAAAAGTAGTCTAGAAATGTCTCAAAATAAGATATGCATTGCACAATTCATGCAACGCCTACAAGCCAGTCTCACAATACCTAATAATAAGTTACTTAATGCCTAATATCCACTCATGTTATGCCAAAATAACTAGTTATGTATTGGTCCAAAGTCACGCAATACATAACAACAAGTCACATAATACATAACAACCAATCACATAATGCCTAAAAAGTAGTTAAGAAATGTCTCAAAACAAGATATGCATTGCACAATTCATACAGTGCCTATAAGTCAGCCTCACAATACCTAACAATAAGTCACACAATGCCTAATATCTGCTTACGTTATGCCAAAATACCTAACAATAAGTCACGCAATGCCTAATATCCGCTCACGTTATGCCTAATATACGCAATGCATAAGTCAGCCTCACAATACCTAACAATAAGTCACGCAATACATAAAAACCTGTCACGAAATAAATAATAACTAAACACACAATGCCTAATATCCATTCATGCAATGCATAATATCCATTCACATAATGCCTATAAATAAAATAATATTTCAACTTTTGTAATCATACCTTTACTTCTCTTATATAAATAGAAAATTAAGAAATTAAGGTAAGTAAACAAATTATTCAGCATAATAGAAATTAAAGGCAGTTAACACATTTTATGAAAAATATGTAATAAATCAGTATTTTTATTCATTAGCTGAAAAAGGGAAAATGATACAACGTGTGAACCATGGTTCATTTTTTCTTAATCTTATATACTATTTCATAAATTTTAGCTAGAATCTTGTTATTGTCTAAAATTTTCAGAACTTCTATCCTAAGCAACACCTTATACATCAATCCACGCATGTCCTTCTCCATGTTCTCAGTTTGGTTCATCAACTTGACCATATATACTACAACATTGCCGACGATATCTTCCTCTTTAGTAACAACCCCCTTCCTAGTCTCGCCTCCATAATGTTTAAAAGTCATAAGAATTTTGAGATTTTCCTTCAGATGATTTTAATTAAAATGGATAATGATTTTCTCTATTTGTAGGCATGAATGCTAACTTTTGGAAGGGTGTTCAATGATTTTAAGTTTATTTTTTGATGAATATGGTTAGTTCGTAAATCGATGCATTAAGTGTTCTAAAGAGAATTTTAGAGTTCTGTGTCAGCTAAATCTAAATGGTTTTCTGTATCGATATAAGTGGAATTAGAGGGGCTAAATTGGTTATTAAGCATTCCTAATTCTCTTCTAATGTTACAAAATTTATTATTAAAAGGGCTGAATTAATAGATAATCACCTTCAGCATTAGGTAGATAAAGCAATGCAATTATTAAAGACTAGTCACACAATGTTTACAAGCTAGTCAAGCAATTCCTAAAACCTCGTCACACAATGCACAACTCATGCAATTCCAAAAATCTAGTCTCACAATGCCTCATATCTAGTCTCACATTGTTTAATATTCAGTCACGTAATGCCAAATAAACAAGTTACGGTTCTTAATAATCAATCATGCAATGCCTAATATCCAGTCACACACCTTAATATCCAATGACGCAATGCCTAATAAATATTCATGCATTGTTTATAAATTGATTGATTTCGCTACTCCCAGCTAGATTTAAGTTTCTAAAGTCATATAATTTACCCATCAACTTTTGCGTTCTATGAATATAAAAAAAGAACTCAAGAACCCATAACAAATACCTTGATGTCATCTTTGCACTTTGGGATAGTGAGAAAGTTGGATGGCAATATAAACCTCGATGGCATTAGAGAGTTGGATGGAGAGATATAGACCCTGATGGCATTGGAGAGCTCGATGGGGAATTAGACAGCGAGATATAGACCTCAATGGCATTGGAGAGCTAAACAGCGAGATAGCAAAATCGAGATTTAATTTTAAAATTTTTATCCGAAAGGTAGGAAAGGAGAAAGAAATTGGGACCACGTAATTCGGATTAAATGGTTTAAAGGTAATCTTATTAAGTCATGCCAAAAATTGTCTTAAATCAGTTAAATTATAGTGAAAGTCATTTTTGAAGTGAGTTTATTAGGAAGATTATTTTTCACAATTTCCTCACCTCACCTTGAAAAGGTAAAAGACTGATACAAATTTGATCAAAGTAAAATTTTTTTACAAATATGTCTATAAAATTCGTATTTTCCTACACAAACAATTTCAATCATATATATATATATATATGGAAAAAATTCTCTTTATATTTAGCTAAATGTCTATATTTCTTTTTTAGAATTTATCTCAAAATTATAGTAGTCTTTTCTCATACACTTATAACTTCTAATTTTATATATTCTATATTAATTTCAAATAAGAACAATAAAATAATTTTATAAATCATCTTATATCGTAAATGGGTAGTCAGAACAACCTTGTCAGGTCCACTCATAACAACAATTAATGTTAAACAATTGTTATAGGCTAAAGCCGGACAGAAACAAATGAAAGGAGAAAGAAAGAAAGAGACATGTCTTTTATGTATGTAACACCCCGTACTTGGATACAGTGGCTAATAGAACTTATTGGATACCAATTGAGGTTAAGTAGAGTGTTTAAGAGTGATGAAGGGTAAAAGGAATAGTTTAAAATAAAATATTTCACATGAGAGAAAATAGTAATTAAATAATAATATTTTTATGAAAGATGAATTAGCAAGTTGAAAGGTGAATCAGAGGTGAACCAGGACAAAATGAGACATTTTGGGTCTTGAGGAGACAAATGAAAAATTTTAAAATAAAATAATATTTTATTAATAAAATAATATTAAAATATTAATATTTTATTTATTATCGAAATTGGTTATAAAAGTGAATTATATGACTAATCTAAGTATGAAAAAAGAAGCAAGAAAGAATTTTGAAGAAAAATGGTGTTAATGGGACCCGTGTGTTTTTATTAAATTAAGTTAGAGCGAGTAAGTATATATTTAAATATTATGGTGACACCTTGATAAGATGCAACTTTTATATTTTGTCTGCACACGTGTAAAGGAAGGTAGATAGAAGAAAATTGGAGTTTAAAACAAATTGGAAGGATCAAATTGTAAAAGATGAAAGTTTAGAGGGTTAAATAGTAAATAAGAAAAAGTTTGAGGACATATGTGTAATTTTAATTAAATAGACATTTACTAACCAAGGAAGGTTAGATTATGTGGAACATGAGATGTGCATACAAAATTCACTATTACATGCAAATTATTGTATTGAAAAACAAAGAAGTTAATGGAAAACATATGGGACCACACCATGTGAATGTTGATAAAGAGAAAAAGGAATAAAAAGTATTCGAATGGGAGAAAACCATAGTTTGGCAAGGATAGCCCATAGTGAATTAACATAGAGGATGCATGTGATTTGTAAAGAAAAATGTATAATCATAGCATGAATATTATTGGGTGATAAGGTGGCATTGAAAGGAAATGAAAATGAAATGCAATAAAATTCATGTGAAATGTAATGCAAATGAAATAAAGGTAAACATTGCATGAACAAGCCACCAATGGGAGGTGGTGATAATAACAAAGAAAGGGAATAGAATGGCATGGCATGTAAAAGAAAGAAAAAGAAATAAAGAAAGAATGAAAATTAATGCATGCTTAAGCCAACCATAAAAGGTGGCGTTAATAACAAAGGCTAAATAAGAGAATTTGCATGCAAAGGTCAATATTTTATCTAAACCACCTAGGAATTAATGGCAGTCCTCATTGGCCACCAATTTACATGAAAAAGGTTGCATTTTACATGCTTTCTTAGGAATTAATGGCAGCCCTTATTGGTTGCCACTTTGCATGGCAAAAGTGCATGCTTATCTTGACTTCATTGATATTAACGTTAAGGAAAGGAAATACTTTCTTTACAAGACTTTTCTAATTCTTTCCCTCTCCAAGTGAAAACTCAAGCTTCTCAAAATCCTCCATAAATAATTTAGACTTCATAACATCAAATGGGAGTTGAAAAATTACAAGGAAGGAAAATAGCCTTGTGAGGCTTCCATTTGAGAGGAGAGAAAGAGTTGAGTGAAAAAGGCTTGGAGGCGGCTTAGTTTTGTGGAAGTTGGGAGAAAAACTGAAAGGTTTTCTCTTGTATGCCATGGTTGGAGTTTTAGGAAGGCATAAGAGGTTCGGCCTAGTGATTCCAAGCTAAGGAAGGTAAGTAGAACCCTAATTTTGGTTATGATTTCTTGAGGAAATGAGTTGGTAATTGTGTGCAAATGTTGTGGCAGCAAAGGTCCTTCAAGATTTGAAAGAAATAGATGCATGCATGTGGATCAATCTTGGAATGCATGGTGATTTTGGAGATAGTTAAGCAATGGGTGAGTATTTTAGTCTTGCAATCACAAGTAAACAAGAGAAATGAGATGTGTGCTAATTGTTTATGTTTGTGGCGGCAATGATGACCATGGATGGGAGGAAATTGTGAATCATATGTGTGACTCAAGCTAAAATCGAGAGGTGAGCATGCAATGTGTTCAAATTATGTTGTTTTGGTTATGAACAATTGATAGTATGTGAAATGCTTGTGGTTGAGGTTGATGAAAATATGAAATTTGGTTAAGGAATCATTAATCAAGTTGTTGCCCATATATGTGTATGATTAAGCATATTGAGTTTAATTTGTTGTTAGGAAATGTGTGTTGTAGTGGTGTGCCAGAAGAGGTAACGGGTGATTGGCAAGTAAAATTAGCTAGATACGTCCTTGAGTCAATAGCGATGTAGCATCCCGCTATTGTAAGGTGAGTAGGGGGTGTCTATTTTAAAAATTTTCATAATTATGTACATATATATATTATACGTGTTAATTTATTTTAAATGCAAAATTATGGAAAGCATGAGCTAGTAGATATCCTAGGAATTATGAATGCCAAAGTATTTGGAATTTACTTTGATTATATATATATATATATACAAGTTATATACGTAAAGGATTTTAAAACCGGGAAACAAGCTTTTTACTATAATTTCTATCAAAATGAGACTTATTGATTGTGTGCTGTGCATTCATGAATGAATTTCGTACTCACCATGCTGATCTAACATCTAAACCTCATGCAAAAGGTTTTACATTGTAGAGTCTTACAAAAAAGGGGTTTGATCATGTAACTATAAGCATACTTTGAAAATGGTTTGGAAATAAGCTTTTGAAAACCCAACTTGATTTTTAAATGGTTTTATCAAACCGGGAAATCTGAGAGTAGGCCAGTTGTCACTGCCATGGCTGTGGGGATCCGATGGAGTGAAGCTCCCAAATGTTATTACATGGAAGTGGGTCCACAAGATTTTTATTTTTATTACCTACTCGAGAGTGATATCTTTTTGAGTTTTCACAGACGTAGTTTTTTGCATGGTGAGAAATACTAGTTTTTTCGCAACTCCCCTATTTGATTAAAAGCTTTTAGTGCTTTAAATACTAATTATGAATTAACGATGTTGTGTTTAATACCTCGGGGATGAGATGATTTATGAGCTTGTGTAAAAGCTTTGATAACTTATGATTTCATGGGAATGTGCGTGATTATACTGATTCAAATTTAAGTAAAGGACATCAAATGATTTTGACGATAAAAATCTTTCACTCACACGGGTTTTGAGACAATGATGGTTAAATGATTTCTTGTATAACAATATTTGGTTTTATATATGAGGCACAAATGCCTCATTTGATTAAATGGTTTATATGTTCTTATGTTTTTATATATTCAAATCTTCTACCTTAGCTTGTTTCCCATCTACACCCTACTCACGGAGTTGATGATCACTGAGTCTGTGAGACTCACCCCCCTTAACTTCTTTTTACAGATTAGTAATCAGATCAAGTGTATCGTTCAGCATCTTGAGACTTGTTGCAACATAAGTAATGGCATCTTTTAGACTTCCACTTTGAGTCACTTCGCTGCATAGAGGTCATATTCTATAAAATAGTTAAACTTATAAAGATAATCAGTCTATCAGAAATGTATTTTGTTAAAAACTCTAAGGTTGTATATTGGATGTTTAGTGTGAAGTTAGGACACACAAGGATGTTGTAACTGGATGCTATACTTTAATTGTAATCATTTATTTGGTTTAAGTAAACAAAAGTATTGTTATTACTAGTTGACTCATATACGCATTAGAATGCTTGGTTAAATTATTCAGAATCTCAACTAAGGCTTGTTTAGGATTTGATGAGTTCACTCGCAAGTCTCGAATGCCAGTAATGATAAGAAAAGAGGTCGTTACAATGTATTAACAACAACATGGTATCAAAGCACATAATTGATCCTTGAGTCACTTAAAATATTTATAAACAATCCTAAAATCTCATCTTTCATCTACCATAACCCAACTTCTTTTCAAACTATGTCAACTTCAACTTCAACTATTACACAATAGTCACCACCCTCATTTGATGGTTCAAACTATGCTGTTTAAGCTAAAAAATGAAAGCATTTCTTAGAGGTGTTAATCTTTAGAATACTGTTGAGTTTGAGATGAATTACTAATGTTAAAAGAGAATGCAACGTAGGCACAAGTGAATCAACATGAAGAAAACATTGCAAAAAGATATAGAGCTCTATCTTTCACACATTCAGTTATGTCTAAATCAATTTTCAATAGAATAATGGGATGTGAGACTACAAACCAGGCTTAGAGTAAGCTTGAGAAAGAGTTTTTAGGGTTTGTAAGAAGCAAACAGGTGCGTTTGCAAAATCTCAAAAAGAAATATAAGCTTTTGAGAATAAAGAGAACCAGACAGTAGCTGAATTTGTTAAAGATCTGATAAAATTGGTAAACCAAATCAAACTTATGGGAGACTCTCTTACTCAGTTAAAGGTGGCGGAGAAGATTATGTTAAGCTTACTAGAGAGGTTCGATTCCACAATCACTTATCTGGAGCAAGTAAAAGACATCTTAGCATCTTCAATATCAGACTTGGTTAGTGCTTTAAAAGCTGATGAACAGAGGAAGGCATCAATAAGAGATGAAAGAGTTGATTGTGCATTGGTAGCTCGTTCAAAAGGTAAAGCTCTTACTGATTCTTCATTTAAAAAGAATCCAAATGAAAACAAAGAAAAAGACAAAGCTGGTATAGTTACTGGAAGGCTTCAAAATAAAAGAGGCTAGTTTCTAGTTTGTTCTTACTGTAAGAAAAGAAGTCATTTTGAAGCTTATTACTGGTTTAGACCTAGGGTCAAATGTAATGCATGTAAGCAGCTAGGACATATAGAGAAAGTTTGCAAGAACAAAGCTAAGGTTGTAGATAAAAAACCTCAAGCTACAAAGCCAGTCGAAAAAGCTGAAGTTGTAGAGGAACTCTTGTTTATGGCTATTGAAAATTCTAATTTAGCATATGAAAACTAGTGGCTTCTTGATAGTGCATGTTCAAATCATATGACTTCAAAAGTTGAGTTATTCTCTGAACTTGACATTGTTCACTGTTTTTCAATTAAAATAGGAAATGGTTTTATACTAATGCTATAGGGAAAGGGACAATAGCAATTCAAACTACTTCAAGCACCAAGTATGTTCTAAATGTACTTTTGGTTCTTGAAATAACTCAAAATTTATTGAGTGTTGGCTAGTTAATTGATGATGATTATATGCTAGTATTCAAAAATAATGCTTGCACAGTTTCTGAACCTTCTGGTATTTACATGATGTTTGTTCTTGTGGTGAGAAATTGTTTTCCTGTTAAATGAGGAAATATGTGTTTTTCTGCAATAGAATCTTCATTAGAACAAACCTATATGTGGTACAAAAGGCTAGGCCATTGTAATTAAAAGTCTTTACTGCAAGCAAGTGCCTTTGGTTTGTTGTTGAATCTTTCTAAATTGCATGAAAATGGTCCTATATGTAGCTTCTGTCAGTATGGTAAATTGACTAAATAAGTCTTTTCCTAAGTCAAGTTTGAATAGAGCTATAAACATATTGGACTTAGTTCATTTTAATGTTGTTGGACCTATGAGTGAGCCCTCTCTAAATGGAAGTAGATATCTTGTTATTTTTATTGATGATATCTCTAGAATGACTTGGATTTATTTCATACGGCGCAAGTTAGAAGTGTTCACAGTGTTTCAAAAATTCAAAGTTAGAGTTGAGAATGAATCTGGTTACAATATCAAAACACTAAGGACAGATAATGTAGGAGAATATACTTCTTCAGAGTTCACAAGCTATCTGGAAAAGGAGGGTATTCATCATCATTTAATAGCTCCATATTGTCCTAAACAGAATGATGTAAGTGAAAGGAAAAACATAACTATTGTTGAAATGTCCAAGTGCCTTTTGTTTGAAAAGATGCTTCCTAAAAGTGTTTGGGCTCAAGCAGCTAGCACTGCATTCTATCTATAGAATATCTTGATCACTCAAGCTGGAAATAATAAAACTCCTTATGAAGCTTGGCATAACATCAGGCCTTCTGTTGATCATTTAAGGATCTTTGGATCCATTTGTTCTCTTCATGTTCTTAAAAAACTCAAAGATAAACTACACTCCAAGGCAAAGATGGGAATTTTTATTGGTTATAGTCAACAATCTAAAGCTTACAGAGTTTATCCAATTGAGTCTGGTAAAGTCTTTGTTAGCAGACATGTAGCATTTGATGAAAAAGCATATTGGACTTGAGAGCAAAATCAAATGCAATATACCAAAATTTAGATAGAGATGTTGATCTTTAACTTGTAAGTAGTGATGAGATGCCTGATACTGATTAGATTGTAAATGAGCCTCCTGTGAAAGGCATTCTACTGTCATAGGAGATCTATGAAAGCTGTAATGTAGCATTATCTGAGCTTGCTACACCTGAAGAAGCTGTTATGCTACCAAAGTGGAAAGAAGCTATGAAATAAGAGTTGAAGAAGATACATCTCAACAAGACATGGAGCTTAGTAGATGGGCCTAAGCATCATCATGTTCTTGGAGTGAAATGGGTGTTTAGAAAGAAATTGAACTCTAATGGTTCATTGAGCAACCATAAAGCGAGGCTGATAGTCACAGGCTTTGCTCAAGTGCCTGATGTATACTATCATGAAACATTTGCACTAATGGTCAGAATGGATACTATTCAATTGCTGAGAGCATTGTCAGCCAAGTTTAAATGGAAAATATTGCCTTTGGACATTAAATATGTTTTCTTAAATGGTGATTTGTAGGAAGAAATTTTCATCGAGCAACCTCATGGTTTTGAAATTGAGCCTAACAGAGACAAAGTGTATAAACTCCATAATGCTCTCTACTATTTGAAACAGGCACCACGTGCCTAGTACTGCAAGTTTGATGAACATTTGAAAAGCCAAGGATTCCAGAAGAGCAGTAATGAAGCTACCTTATATGCATAGAAAACTGGTGATCAAATTCCTTTGATTATCTCATTATATGTTGATGACATGTTATTTATAGGATGAGATGATGAAAGAATTGCAAAACTTAAGTGTGAAATGCAAAACAGATTCAGAATGGCTGATCTTGGACAAATGAACTATTTTCTGGAATTATAGATCCTTCAAGGCAATACAGGAATTCATCTATTTGTATCAAATTATATTGGTGAAGTTCTGGACAAGTTTAAAATGTTAGGTTGCAAGATGTAAGAACTCCACTTGTTACTCATGAAAAGCTGTCAGTTGATAAGGGATCTGTACTTGAAAATCCTTCAACATTTAGAAGCTTGATAAGATCATTGGTTTATATTTGTGTTTCAAGGCCTGACTTGATGTTTGTTGTGAATTATCTGTCTAGATTCATGCAGGTTCCTACAATTGAACATTTTTCAGCGGCTAAAAAAGTGCTAAGATATTTGAGAGGTACTATTAATCTTGGTCTTAATTTCAGTTATTTTGATACAAAATCAGTTGAGTTAGTTGGTTTCTTGGATAGTGATTGGGTAGGATGTGTTAATGACTGCAAAAGTACTTCTAGATATGTGTTTACACTAGGAAATGGTGTCTTCTGCTGAAATTCAAAGAAGCAAAGACTACTACTCAATCCTCTGCAGAAGCAGAGTATAGAGTAGCAGCTACAGCTGCAAATCAAGCCATCTGAGTGAAGAAAATTTTAATTGATCTTGGTTTTCTTCATGTGCCTCCAGTCAAACTATATGTGCACAACAAGTCTACTATTGCTATGGTGAAAAATCCTGTTTTTCATTGCATTACAAAACATATCAGGGTCAAATACCATGCTTTGAGAGAAGTTGAGAAGAATCAAGAGATATCCATTCAACATTGTAGCTTTGGTGATCAACTTGCAAACATTCTGACTAAACCTCTGCACTTGTCCAGGTTTGAAGAATTGAGAAGCAAATTGAATGTTCATCAAGCTAGTGTTTAAGAGGAGTGTTGAGATAAAACAAGCTTGAGTGTTGTTTTTCTGACTAACTAAGTTTTGGACAAGTGTCCATTTTGCTTTGTTGTACTGGTTTTATAAGCTAGAGTCTTTCTTGCTACTACATGTCCTTGAACGCATAAGCATTGCAAGCTTATCTTAATCCTATGTTAAACTCTTTGTAGTTTTATACAAGTGTTAACCATGCATCTAATATATATATTCATGTATCTTTCTTTAGTAAATGTAATGATATGATAGAAAATCAAGTTCTTCTGTTTCATTGGCTTTGCTTTTCTTCTCTGTATGCATGATACTTCTGTCGTGCATTAACAATAACAATACTTAACACGGCCATTGAGTGAGTCCACAATGAAAGCAGCTGAGAACGTGAATGCATGGTCGGGTACAGCCACCTTGCTGCCGCTGATACGGGCCTTCGTTGCTGATTCATTTTTGGGCCATT